GAGTCACTATAAATTTCTCTTCAGCAGTCACAGAAGCCAGTAGGAAGTGGCACATTAAAAGTGCTTAGAGAAAAGAATTGTCAACCCAGAGTTCTAGATGCCATAATAGTATCTTTCAGGAATGAAATGAAATAAAGACATTCTCATATGAAGGAAAACCAAGAGGATTTGTTGCTCTCACAACTGCTGTGTGTGAATTGCTACAGGAAGTTGTTCCGACAGAAGGTAAATGATACCAGAAGGATACCTAGGCATGGGGAACAAGAGAAGAGCAGCTAAAATGGTAAACATCTGTGCACATACAATGTTTTCCCCTGGAGAACTTCAACATCATATCTGAAAATGCAAAGCAACAACCAAAACATTGTTTAGGCATTTTGTACCGTCTTAGATTTATTATACATAAGAAATAGCAGAGAGATCAATGGAGAGGAAAGCTTGCTAACTCTGACTCGGAGGGCACCCTGCTGGCACAGGCCACCTGGGAAGAGATCCTGGCAGTCCCAAGAGAATTCAGCTGAACCCATGCAATTTACAGCTCCACACAGCTCTCACCCAGACGTTTTTAGCTGCCAAGGATGATCGCCACCTATGTCCATTCTTCATAAGGGCTTCAAGAACGAGACACTCAAGTTCTACCAGTCTTGTATAAGTAGCTATTCTTGCCTGAGAAAGAACTTTGGGGAGTCAGCTCTCTAATTACAGTATGATTCACATAGCAAAGGGAAGATAAATGTCTGATTTTTTTTTCTGATATCAAACCACTCTTCAAAATAGCAAGTCAAAATTCACTATTTTTCTTTACTTTATAGTTTTTATTTGAGTGTTTTCATTTCATCCAAAAGGAAGAGAGAGCATGTTTTCCCATTTCCCAAGTGTCTGCAACAAGCTAGGTCTGAAGACAGAAGCACAGAACTCATTCCAGGTCTCCCGAGAGGGTTGAGCCAGAGTGTGCCCCGGCAAGAAGCTGGACAGGATGAGGATACTCCAATAAGGGACACGAGCATTCCAAGTGGCAGCCTCATTGCTGTATCACACACTTGCCCCAGCATCACTTTTCAAATAGCAGACATGCAAAAGGAAACTGCTGGTTTAATCCCCACTGACTTAGTGTGCAACAGACACAATGTGCTCATGCTGACAAATACAAACAGATATCCAAACATTTAGATCATTCAAGGTTTCTAACGCTGTAAGGGTGCACAAAGGATGATACAATCATTTTGAAATCATACACTATAATGTGTCACACCTGTTTTTTATTGCCATGGAATCACTCACTAGCATGGATGCAAGAATGTAAACAAACTTAAGTCTATGTAAAATTTCTCAATCCAACTGTGAGATCCCCACGGACAGCAGGAAGTGAAGCTCAGATTGAAAGACTAAATGGAACACAAAAGAATTACCTTAGAGATTCAAAAGCAAAACTCTAGTGGAAACGGTCTTCACTTCAATCACTCATTCACAGTTTCATCTTAAACCACGATTTATTTTTAATTCAATTACTCTGGGTAAGCCAGGATATTAAACACAAGTCAGATATCGCTGCATAGAGTTCTCACGGTATCTAACATGCTGGTCCCCAGTACATGCTGATGAGGGACAGGGGAACCACTACGGGACGAAATCAGGTGACGGTCCAGCTCAGGCTTCCCTGGAGTGGGACATGGGCTCACACCTAGGCCCACTGCTTCCAGGGGCATTTCCTCCCTCAGGTTCTTATCCTGTTGGTCACATGCATGCTCCCTGCGACTCTGGGTTTCTGTCATTGTCCTACACACAGAACAGGGGTTGTGCCAGGCTTCTCTACTTGTAACCCACAAGGATAGAGTAAGGTCAAGGAGAACTCACACCAAACAGCTGTAAATCACCTGTGTTCCCGAGGAGAGGCAAAGTTATGGCCCAGGATACAGATTACACAGGATGCAGTCACATATCTCCTCAAGGACTTGAATTAGAATCAACAGGTCAGGGACAAATCAATTGAGCAGAACCCCTACCTAAGCCGTTCAAACACAAGTACAGAAAAAAAAACCCACATGAGAAAATAGTCACAGAAATGAAGATATCACAAGTACATTAAAGGAGAATATAACTCTCACACACATATGAGGGCATTCAAAAAGTCATAGAGAGAGGGGCCTGCACGATGGCTCAATGCCTAAATCCCCCTTGCAAATTTCAGATCCCATACAGGGGTAGTTTATGTCCCAGCTGCTCCATTTCTCATCCAGCTCTCTGCTTGGGAAAGCAATCGAGGACGGCACAAAGCCTTGGAACCCTGCACCTGTGTGCGAGACCCAGAAGAAGCTCCTGGCTCCTGGCTCCTGGCTTCAGATCAGCTCAGCTCTGACCATTGTGGCCATCTGGGGAGTGAACCAACAGACTGAAGATGTTTCTGTCTCTCCTTCCCTCCATAAATTTGATCTGCCTTTCCAATAAAAATAAATAAATCTTTTTTTAAAAAAAAAAAGACCGGGGCCCGGCGCGGTGGCGCAAGTGGTTAAGGTCCTCGCCTAGCACGCCCGGGATCCCATATGGGCGCCGGTTCTAATCCCGGCAGCCCCGCTTCCCTTCCAGCTCCCTGCCTGTGGCCTGGGAAAGCAGTCGAGGACGGCCCAAAGCTTTGGGACCCTGCACCCGCGTGGGAGACCCGGAAGAGGCTCCTGGCTTCGGATCGGCAAAGTATCGGCCCGTTGCGCTCACTTGGGGAGTGAATCATCGGATGGAAGATCTTCCTCTCTGTCTCTCCTCTCTGTATATCCGCCTTTCCAATCAAAAAATAATAAAAATAAATCTTAAAAAAAAAAAAAAAAAGACCATGGAGAAATGGAGCTAAAAGATACATTTATTTTGGTGTAGAAAATATTTCCAGGGTGGCGATTTTGCCTAGTGGCCCAGATACTGGGTAGGATGTTCATATCCCAAATCATACCACCTGGGTTCAATCCCTCCATTTCAGCTACCCATCAGTGCAGATTTTAGAAGGGAGCAGGTGGTGGTTGGAGAACACGGTCTCTGCCACTCACATGTGAGATACAGACTGAGTTCCTGGTCTGTGGCTTCAACCTAGCACAGCCTCAGTTGTTGAAGACGTTGGAGGAATAAACCAATACACAGGAGTCTCTCTGGTTATGCCTCTCAAGTAAAAGAATTAAAAGTTAAAATATTTTTCAATAAACTTTTAGAAATATGTGTGTGTATATATATATATATACATAGAGAAGAGACAGATGGAAAGAGAGAGAACTGGCACCAAAGACCTAAGCATTAATAGTGCTTAATTGTAATTCATGTGGTTATTGGCAATTTTGTCTTCCTCTTTTTACTTTTTTATATTTTTCAAGTTCTTTATAATAAGAAGAAGACAAAAACCTGTTATTAACCCCTGTAAGGGAGGTAGGGGGAATGAACAGGTAGCACATGGAGGACTGAGGCTGCCAAGCCTTTCTTTGAAACACTGTAGCAGTGAACTGTGTATTGTTATATTATTGCCCAACCCCTAGGATGCAAAGCACCAGGAATGAACCCTACTTTCAAGTACAGGTGAGTTCAGGTAACACATAGGGTAAACTCCCTGACTTTGACAATTGTACCACAGTGGCATGGGTTGACGATGGGGAGGCCATGCATGGGTAGAGACACGGAATACAGCAAGTTTCTGTATTTTCCTCTCCTTTTTTTGTGTGTGTGAACCTAAAAATTCTCTGAAACAACCAAAAATCTTAAAATCATGCAAGCAGAGAATATAAATGTATAAATTTTTTCAGAACCAAGCAAATTACAAACACTCAAATACTCTACTATCTGAGTATCTTAGGAAGAGGAAAGAAAAGTTAACAGTGACCACAGGGACCAGTGGTAGGTACAAAGCACCTCACTGAGAAAGCTGGGATGACAGTGAAGGTGGGGAAGACCCACATGGAGTCCTCCGAGGTTTCTGTGTGTGGAGCCACAATGCTCACAGATGCTGAAAAGGAAGGCCTTTAGGTATCCAGGCCCAGGGGAAGTGAAGCCCAACAGTCAGACTGCTAAGATGCAGCGTCTGGTACAGCGAGCATGTTGAGGGTTGGGTGCACGCATGTTTGTGTATAAATGTGCATGTTGATATCATAGTACATTAAACAGCAGGCAAACAAATCAAGGTGGTCACAGTCATGGGTATGCGCAGCTTTATCTACAAGAACATATCCTTTTAGCATGTGTGTTCTTCAGTTCTCATTACTGTAACAATATACTGGAGGCAGCCTAACTTAATAAAGAAAAGGAGCTTATTTTTTATTCATGATTCTGGGGGTTCACAGTCGAAGATCCAGCAAGTTCCATTGGTTTGGCCTCTAGTGCTGTAATTCCTGGTGGTGAAGTCCCAAGGTGGCACCAAGCACCACATGGCAAAAGACAGGGAGCACATTTATCTGTCCACAGTCTCTGACAAAGTTATCAGGACCTAACCACCACCTTAATGGACGTAATCGCACCTGTCACTTGCCAAAGGCCCTGCCTCCAAATACCAGAGTGGATTAACTTTGCACCTTAGTACTATTCCCTTATGACTTTGGGGACTCAAGTCCTGCACTGAGCAGGGACAAATTTTCAAATCACAGCATGATGTATATAATTAGTGAATACCTACTTTTTTGGAAAGACTGCAAAGCAGGAAGGAAAGCAGGCAACGTGGGTGTTGCCTCACAGGTAATCAGACGAGGCTGTGAAAGAACCCACAAGTGATTCTGCTACTTACGATCTTTAAATCAAACTACTCTGCACTTGACATTCCTGACCTACAGACACCTGCATGCGCACAGCATACTTCAGGACCAGGACCTTCATAGAGTCCCCAATAAATGGCAGGTGAGCATTTGCAGATTGACATAAGGAAGAGGGGAGAAAAAAGTGAATGTGGGTCACACCTGCATGTTGGAGTCACACAGAGAATGACCGGCATGGGCAGGTGGGACAGGGTGAGGGACTGAAGCATCCGCATCCACAATACTTACTGCAGTTCTCTTCATCGCTGCCATCAGGGCAATCCTCAAACCCGTTACACCGGAAGCGGCCAATTATACAATGGATGCCGCTGGCACAGGGGAAGAACGTGGGGCCGCACTTGGACTTGGCTTTGGCTGCAGGAGGAAAAGAGGACAAAGAGCAAAACATCAGATCAAGTTCTGAGCCCACAGCACACTCATCCCATTCTGAATGTGCAATCCGTTCAGGTTCTCCCTGAGGGCCATCATGAAGTTCCCGCCCCAAATACCGGGCCTAGATACCCACGGGTGGCAACTTGCAGATGGGAAAAGCCTACTCCTGCTGCTTCACAAGGACCCAAGAGGCCAAAACATGGCAGCTGCTCAATCAAAATGTTCTGAACAAAGGAATCAACGGGTGAATGGGTGAGTACATGGATGATGGATGGAGCTTGTTTCGTAAGGTGCCCAAGAACTCATCAAAATTCATTCCCTGACTGCTGAAGCAATCATAGCCAAGAGACGGAGTGTTCACAATACTAGGCAGTGTGCCAAGTGCTCTGCATGGATTATCTCATTTAATCTACCCAACAGCCACCCAAGGGAATGGCATGAACCAAAAAAAAGGGAGCCTAACAAAGTCTGCAAGAGTCTTCCAAAGGCCTGCTTGCAAGGCTGACTCCTGCTTGCCTGCAGGCTGGGACTGGGAGGGTCCCCATCCACCCTAACTGCTGAGAGTGGCTCACTGTGCCTAAAGTGTGCACACAGTACTGTTTATGCTGAACCCCTGCTTTCCTTCCTTGATCTGGAACTTAGGTACATGCTAGACAGAGGGTGACTCGATGATCAAAACCAGGTAAAAGTCCACTGACTTTCTAGTGAATCGTGACAAACAACATTCCACATGTGTCAGATAACCCAGTGTTGGGGCATTAAATACAACCCCTGTGACTCAACAAGAGATGATTTTCTTGGAAATCTGGACCTGGTCTCCTGTGGACTTTACTCCTTTCTCCTTTACTTTCATATCCCTTTGCTGTAACAAAACATATATGGAGTTCTGTGTAGCCTTGCCAGCCACTTAACTTGACAGGGGTTTTGGGAATCCCCGTAAAGGTGTGTTCTGAGAGGTGACATGACTTGGCCAAGGCCACGTGGCTAGAACACACAGAGCCCAGAAACTAAAAACCATCTGCTCAATGGCACTGCCACTCTGTGAAGGTTACCAAGGTTCCCAACAAAAGCCACATTCTTGCTCCTAAGATTCTTCCTCTATTTTTGTTGTGCAAAGAACTGTTGTAACGTGACCTTGACTGAGTGTCCTGCTAAACCAAATAGTCCCAGAAGGCAATGCACTTTGCTATTAATGGTGCAGGCTCTTCTGGCTGGTGATTAGGAGTCATGAGACCACATCCAGCACTATATTCAGGCAACACACCCAACCTAGTATCCCTCTTGACCCCTTTCTTAGAAGCAAAACTCATGATCATGTAAGACAGAAGGGCCATTTCTCTGGAATGAAGATGCAGTCAATTAGTCCCGGGTTCTGCTAACTTTGGCAGCAACTGATTGACAGCGAATAGGGTTTTGAAGCCTCGGACACATCTTAAAATCCCCTCATGGCTTTGCTGAAACCTGGAACTTCTATGATAGTACTCGCATACTCCTCCTCTCAAAACACAAACTCAGGAGAGTCTGGTTTCAAATTCGAGCTCCACATTTTATGAACTTGGGCAAGTTTCTAAATATTGCTGAGCCTCTTTTTCTACTGGAGAAATATCTACTTCACAGGACCCTAAGGACTCAGCTCATCTACATAACACTTAAAAGAAGTAAGGTAGACAGATGTCCAAATCATGGTAATGCCAGGCTATCATCATCATCCCTAGGTTTATAAGAATTTTAACTGATCCTTGGGCTGTTAATTTTTTTCCCCAATGGTCAAAGCTAGAAAAAGCTCTTTGTGGAAGATCTCTAAGAATTGTTATGGAGTGACTTATACCATGCAATATTAAAGGGAAAAAAAGCAAAGTGCAAAACAGCATCTATAACACTTTGCCATCTGCATAGGAAAGAAAGACGTAAGAAAATGTATGTGCCAAAGAACTACTCACACAGGAAGACTAAACCAGGAATCAAAGAGACAAGTGATCTATGGGGCAGGAAGAGGAAGGAGAAAGAATGAGGTGCCGGGAACAGAAGGTATCACAGATCTCCCTATCTCTATATATATTTGTAGAAATGGACTCAGAGAAGGTTGTATCTTAGAATCATAAGAAACTTGGTACACCCCCAAAATAAGCTATTAAAATCACCCATGAAGCCTGGTGCAGCAGCCTAGTGGCTAAATTCCTAACCTTGCATGCACGAGGATCCCATATGTGCACCAGTTTGTATCCTGGCTGCTTCATTTCCCATCCAGCTCCCTGCTTGCGGCCTAGGAGAGCAGTCAAGCAAAGCCCAAGCCCTGGGACCCTGTACCTGCATGGGGACCAGAAGGAAGCTGATCTCCCATGGCAGCTTGGGGAGTTCTTATGTGGCCACTTGGGGAGTGAATCAGCAGATGGGAAATCTTTCTCTTTCCTCCTCCTCTCTGTAAATCTGCCTTTCCAATAAAAATAAATAAATCTTTAAAAAAAATTACCCATGGGAAAGGACTCAAAATGCAATGTAAGCAGCAGGGAGTAGACTTCAAGATGCTCCAAACAGATAACATTACTAACTTGCAATAGGTGAAAAAAAAAAAATAATAATCAGCCTAGGCATCTCCAGAAAATGTTCTTCCACTAGATTTTGTAAAGCTAAAGGAAGAAAAATTTATACACAAATACTATCCTGTAGTTAAATTGATTTCTTACAAGAATGTACATTAGCAATTCTCAAGCTACATTTTTTGCGTATCCTACAGTTAAACAAATAAGTAAACACACTGTAAGCAATAAGAGCAGGACTTCTGGATGTCAGCAGAAAATGTTATCAAGAAGAAAGGGGGAAAGTTAAAACAGACCTGAGGTGCTGATGTGGGACCTCAGCTATCAGCACCAACTCAGAGTCTTAAAGAATCAGAGAGAGACAGAGATAGAGATGAGACAGAGAACAGACACAGACAGGGAGAGCCAGATGGATAGATGAATCTGTGTGTGTGTGCATGGGTGAACATCCACACGTTTATTTCCTAGCTCTTTTGCCATCTGTATTAGCAACTAGAATTCTCAATGAGAGAATTAACAACAGGATTAGCAATGAGCACATCTGCTTCTCAGCTCTTGGGTTTTCCTGGTAGTGTTATCCAGTAAAGGGAATCGGCTTCCTTGGAAAAGTAGTTGATGAGCCTGGAGTATCCCCATGGCCATGGAAAGCAAATGGGTTCTCCAAATGTCACAGGGCATGTCAAACAGACACAGGACTTAACCTAAAGAAGTCCCTAATGGCCAAAGCTAACATAATTTCAGCAACAAATTAACAACAGTCCTGGATTGTGAGCTAGAGAACAAAGTACCTCTGAGACAATACTGGTACCAAATGTAAGTAATTCAAAGAATGAAGAATTGCCATTAATGAATGCAGAATTGTGTACTTAATGGAAAACCGTAATTTAGCAAATATTAGTCTAATAATTCTTAGAGGCCAGACCCATCACTATGTGTTACAACCAGAGGGCCCAAGCTTGAGAAAAAAACAGGGTATGTGCATAGTTTCAAAGCACCTCAACCAAAACATTGATTAACTTAAAAATTACTTGAGAGTGGTTAAGTTTGATGGATATTTGCCCCAGCATCCCCAACCCAACCCAACCCAAGTGATTGCTAGTGGTAAGCATCATAGGTCAGTATCACCAGAAGACAGACACATCCATCTCACAGCCCCTCAGATGAGGAGAGCATTCTGGTTGATGGTGTCAGTAACAGTAGCAGTCAGACACATCCGCCCCAGAGCCTCTCAAGTGGGGAACTGGGAAGGACGTGGGATCTCTTCCGTAGCATTCTTGACCAAACACAAAGAATCAAGGTAATCACAAGAAAATATCATGACCCATGTGGAAAGACATCCTACAGTGTAACCGGCTCAGTGGTCTTCAAAGGACAAAGACAGACTAAGAAATGATTGCAGATTGGAGGAGACCAAGAAGACATGAGGTTTTAACCCAATCTGGGATCCCAGAACAAAAACAGATACTAGTGGAAAACTGGTTTGATGCCACCAAGATTCCTTAAAAGTAAAAGTATTATACAGTTAAAAGTATTGTGCCAACATTAATTTTTTAGCTTTGATAACTGTGCTACAGCTATCTAAGATATTATTATTAAATAGCAATTTCCAGGACTGTTTTTGTGGACTTTTTTTTTTTTGCAGTTTTCTGTACATCTAAAATCCTTTCAAAATAAATGCTAAAAACATGTTTGCTGTGAAACAAAGTACAGAGAAGAGAAAAAAAAAAACTGCCTATAATCACACCACTCCAAAATAACCACAATTATCACTCTCCTGTGCCTCCCATTTACACACTGACATCATTACACATATAATTAATTTCCCAGGGTTTTATTTAGCTTTTTCTATGGGACGGAGTTACACAGTTCCAAGAAATAACGGCAAAACCTCTAGCACCGTTTCCTGCTCCTCCCATGGTAAAAATCTTATAACTTCTGGGCCAACATCACCATCAAGATAACATCATTGCTACCATTTAGGAGACGTGTGTCAATACGAGTATGCCCTTGATGCCCTGGTACAGCCACACTCACCACACAATCTCCTCATTAAAAATTGGTAGCCACTAATGTATTTGACATTTCTACACTTTTGTTAATGCCAACACAGTTCAGAAAAGGAAGCACACAGTTTATAGCCTTTTGGGAATGGTTTGTTTTCATTCATGTTTCATTTAAAATATAATTTTGAGAACTAATTATTTCACTTGTCATAACAATGTAAATGTTTCCAAAGTTTGTCAAGGCTACAAAATAGTTCAGCTGGCAACGTATGCTCTTGCTTCCTCACCTGGGGGACTTGGTGCTACTGTGTTTGGATTTGATCTATTACCCAAAGGTTCACATATTGGAAGTTTAAGCCACTGCCTGTAAAGCTTGCATTCTGCCTAGCTACTTCACTTCTGATCCAGCTCTCTATTAACACACATGGGAAAGCAACCCAAG